CTACTGCCTAGGGTCTATCGGCAACCCCCACACCCCGAGCTAAGGTATGATGTAAAGACCTGCTGATCAAAACCATTGTTACCTTGCTAAATTTAAGCTTACCTACCTACCTACCTACCTACCTACCTATGCAGTTGATCAACCAGCCATCATACGCAGTACAGAGTGCGTATGCATTTACATGGCATAACTTGTATATAATATATTCCGTTACCTGTTCGCATTGATATAAAACTTGAAAGGATACCGGCCGGACTGGCTGCTTTGCTTTCCGTGTAAATACATATATGATGTGGAATAGAAGAGAGGCCAGGAGGCCGTCTCGACCTACCTATTCGGTCAATCACGGGTTGAAGAGGTATGTACCATGGTAAGTGGGGGCGAGTGAGGTGTCACGGAGGTCAAAGTACACTTTTAGTTCTGCTTTTAGAGTTTTTAGCTTTAGCAGCCCTTGGCCAATGCTTTAGCCGATGCAGCGTTAGGACTATGTACCCGGCGATTCTATGGCATATTTCCATGGCGCCAATTGCTTCTCCAGTTCCAATACAACCTGACAACCAACCAATACATCAATGTCTTTTGACAGGTCGTCCACATTTCATATTTACTTTCACCCAAGTTATTGATATGGGCTTCATGTAATATTATTAATTCCTATCTTAATTCTCATTGTTTTCTGCCTCGACTTTATGCCCTCTGGAATGACTGTTATGTACGATTGGATACTTTCTCCGCATCTTATCAAACATTAATCCTGTGAAAACCTCACCCCGCTCGTCATCCTGCCGTCTTACCAACGTCAATGCAAATCATATGAGTCCCTGCACCAAGTAATGAAGGCGTCTATATTGAACTGTTATACTTGAGATTGCCCTCGAAGCTATCTTTCACCAACCCGAAAAATCCTACAGGAAATCCTTCGAACATACCATGCTTATAGATCAACACAAACAGTGAATGCGGCCGTTATTTCGACCAATCCGACCTGTCACGCTTCACCTGCCCTCGCCCTCATCCTCGCTAATACCCCTTGCCAGCAGCTCCGTTCTCGTTGGGAGTTTCTTGGCCAATCTCCACGTTCTCTACCACCCCGCGACCCAATTTGCAGCCCAATCGCTGCATCGTATCATTTCTCGCTAGCTAGCGAAGCTGGCTGTCGGCTGCTTGAATCAAATCAACCAAAGCCTTGTCCTCGACTCTGACTTGTTTCGCTCCTTCAACGTCTGATCATTTCCTTCTGGCTGACTGACCGCATGTTTTGGTTGCCTGGTAGCCTACCTGCATTTGCAAAACTCGCGGCTGTGACTACTACTACATTACTACGTGATTCAAACACTTTCTAGGTCGTACTGCCACCGTCTATCCTAGGTATCTGTTTGTTGTGGATGCCGCGGCCTCTCTATAATAAATCGACACTTAGCGTTTGTTGCTGTCGGATTACGGACACTTGCATAGTTGCTGCACTCGACATATCGTTATCAATCTACAACCAGATCACGCATTATGAAACCTGGTCCAATATCTTAGCCGGGTTTGTTATGGTATTCTCCACAATCTGCCCACTTAGGCATTGCCGGTTGGCCGCATTCTAAAGGTCCATAGTCACCGGTGCTAGGATCGTGCTAGGATATCGACGCGCCCCATCGCAATCCGATCCTCCCCCCACCATCGCCTATTGATATTCCGTCTTTGAGTGTAATAGTCAAATTATGAGTTTAGTCAATTGACTGATCACACAGACCGGACTGCTGTTTGGAGGTGTCCTTTTCGTTTGTTGCCCGTTATGGCTGCAACTGTTCAGAAGCTTCCGTCCTCGGATCTGGCTGAAAGTCTAGACGATACTCTTCCTGAACTAAGAGAAGCCGACTACTTAACTCAGGTCCTACAGCTTTCGTCCGAGAAGACTGAGGCTTATCTCAACGAACTGATCATGAAGGCCTCAACCTTGGGTATTACTATCTCTCGGCCGTCAAGTGCCAGAAACAAACGAAATCTGTCTGGCGCCAAATCGAACATCACCGTAGATACAAATCATGCCCGCACTGCGTCTACGGGGTCGGAGAGCTCCGCGAGCACGACTCTTACTTCATATTCCTTAACTAACGGTTATCCTGAGGCCACAGGGCGGAGCATCGCAAGGAAGCGATCTAAGGCTCTTACGTTTGCTCAATATGAGAACTATCTCGCCCAAGCCGATCCGACTCTCAACCAACCTAAATTCATATCACCCTCACCAACAGAATCCGAATCAACGCCAAGCATTTTCAGTGTTAGCACGACCAAGAGCTACCTGAGTTTTAGAAGAGGACTTTCTAAATTACGCCGTAGACGAAAGACCCCGTCTTCTCTTGGACATATCGTCATGTTTGTTAAGCATCCCCGGTAACTTGCAATGTGCATGGTACTAATAGCTTCATGTTGATATACAGGTCATGCAGTGCGTGCCGAGAAGATCTCCAAGTCGACCAGCCTCTCCAGAGATTACTGTGTGGACACAGTTATTGTTCGAGATGTTTGAAGATCATGATCAATCAGGCAACGACTGACGAATCTAAAATGCCACCACGCTGCTGCACCCAACCAATACCAAGTTCGATAATTAAAGCTATATTATCCCGCGAAGAGCAACATAGGTTCCTGAAAGTCGTGGTACAATTTAGCACGCCCTGGGAATCGAGAGTATTCTGCTCCAACCCAGCCTGTGGCGAATTTATACAGCCGCGGATCAAGGTCGACCCCAAATATCCATCCCAAGCTATCTGTCGAAAATGTAAAACGCGAGTTTGCGTTATGTGTAAGAGGGATGCTCACCCTATAGGCCAAGATTGTCCGGATGATTGGGAATTAGATGCCGTCTTGAAGATGGGAGAGAAGTCAGGATGGAGAAGGTGCTACAAGTGTAGGTCACTTGTTGAGCTCACGCAAGGCTGTACGCACATGACGTGCCGATGTCGTGCGCAGTTCTGCTACATCTGCGGCGCAGTTTGGGATCAGATGGTGGGTTGTCCTAACTTCTGCAATGGCGAGGCTGTGATGGAGGATCGGCGCCGCGAGGAAGAAGCCCGGGCGGCAAAACTCGCAGACGAAGAGGCAGCCAAGCAAGAAGCTGCTGCGAAGGAAACAGCAGAGATGCTCGAAGCAGTAAAACGTAGCCAAAACTGCGGGGAATTCAAAGCGTTGCGAGAGGAGCAAGTAAAGGAGATGGAGAGATTCCATGTTTTCGATAGGAGATCGAAATGGCTCATGTGGACTAGGCATGCCCACGCAAAGCTCGCTCTCGTAGAGAAACACTCGGCGGCTATCGAGAGGATGAACGAGCGACATGGTAAGACGGCGACGAATCTTGAAGATCGTCAAGTTGCTGCAGAGATGGAAATGCGCTCAACATTAGAACAGAGTGAGAGAAACGTGCGGATTCGGCTCAAGCATATGGAAGCATATTGTGACGGCCTCGGCAAGAATCCAGATGGAGGCATACCTTCCCGAACTGTTACGGAACGGGATCTAAGAGAACTCGGGCAGCAGTATAACGTTGAAAAGAACATGAAGCAACTTCATCAGGCCAAAATCAACGTTATGCGGGATAGACAAGCGAAAGCCCTCGAAGAATTACTCGAAAGGCAAGAGTCGGAGATGGGCAAACTGATTGAGAAGAATAGGAAAGAACTGGAGAGTCTCGAATCTGATTTTTCAGACGAGGAAGATGCTTTGGCGACGGCAATGAGCCAGCGCAGAGAAGCACTTCAGAAACGATGGGAGCTCGAAATGGAAGTGATGCGTAAGGAGCTGGAAAACGACAGAGGACTGAGTTACGCTTCGATGAGCCCCCCCGAATGGTTGTACGACGAAGAGCCGTCGGAGAATGGCCTCCCTGCCGTAGATGAATAGGGTGCCTTAGTGGATATCCCACTAAGTACATACATATTTAACAAATATTCCTTTAGATGCTACGGCATCTTGATCTCATGGTTATCTATGATTATTCTTAATCTCATATGTACATGTTATTGACATCCCCGTTTGCTCTTCTCTTTGTGGTCGTAGAGGGCTTGGGTGTTTAAATACTTAAACACAGGATGGAAGGTGGAGTTTACAGGCTTGCAACCTTGCAGGGCGTCATAATAGGGGTTGCATAAGGTACAGTACCTGCTGAGAAGGCTGTCAGGGTAAAACTATCCGCTAGCATAATATACATATTAGCCATGAACTGATGTGAGTGCCAATGCTGAATAGTGAAATAAATCTATGGTAGTCGGGAGGTTTGGCATTGGATGTTGTTCACACTACTATAAAACTTTCCATGAGACTTAGAAGCACGCAAGCACACACGAGTAACTGTAACGGATAAAGGTTGATTCATATTTCATAAACAAATAATATTTATTGAATGATGCCATAATATAACATGGCTATTATGAAAGCTTGATAGACTCAGCGCTCTCAAAAAACTAATTATACTCAACAATATTGAATTAAATAAACCTACAGAATCCTAGACGGCTAGTAAAATCGGTGGCCTATTTTTGGGCGGTCCTATAGACGGAGTTAGCTATTGTACTCTAAGCAATACATTCGATTGTACGGTGTAACTCGGGAGAAAGCGTTCAGAATATGTAAGAATTAAATATCACCTTGCCACTTGATATAGCAGCTCTGGCGAGAGCGCCATCGAAGTGGAATCAATCGCAAATTACCTCATCATAACAAGCAAAAGGTTTGGAAATATCTTGGGGGTAAAAGTGAAGGCTTACCTATTATGATGTTTGCCCTTAATGAAAGTTAACTTTTGGACAGTTCTTAAAAAAAAGAAAAAAGAGGAAAAGAAAAAGTTTTATGAACAGTTGGAATGTTGAGGCTGCAAAAAGATCTTGAAGAGAAATCTTTTTAGAAAAGGTCTGCAGAGGACCCACTTTAAGCAGGCGCTAGATTTAGTTGACCTCGGGTGCGGTTTAGGTGAAATTCCGGCTTAGCCCTAACTTGCCCACACAACATTCAACTTCCCACCGCATTTTCCGCGACCGAAGAAAAGTTCAGCCCAGGACAATTCAAGGTAAGGAGGGATTTGAGCCAACACCACGATATCACCAAATCAGTAAGTCTTCCTCCTTTCTCCAATTCTCCGCCAACCAAACGATCTTCTAAAGAAACAATCACGCCTCTCTTTTTCAATTGTCTCTTTATTTTCTCCATCTTCCTATCTTCCAGCCTTCTTAATACCCACTCATCTCTAACAACAACATTATCAGCACACCCTCACAATGGGCGACGCATCGATCGAATCCCCCGAATGGCGCAAGGTCGAGGTCGGCCGTATCGTCCTCGTCCAGGGCAACGGCCCTTATGCCGGTAGACTGGCTGCTATCGTCGAGATCATCGACCACAAGCGCGTACGTTAACCCCGAAACCGGCAATCTGGAAAGTTACGAATCTCATGTAATCATGTATATTAACTTGGGAACATCTAGGCTCTGGTTGATGGACCTTCGTCAGACCCTAAGCTGGTCGTTCCCCGACAAGCTATCTCTTTCGCCGACGTGCTCCTGTCCGACCTGAAGATTGCGAAGCTACCGCGCGCCGTCCGAACAGGAACCCTGCAGAACGCATGGGCGAAGGCCGAGATCGACGGCAAGTGGAAGGAGAGCAAGTGGGCCAAGCGAAAGGACCAGACGGAGCGAAGAAGGGCGCTCACCGACTTCGACCGATTCAAGGTCATGCGACTCAAGAAGCAACGACGATTCGAGGAGCGAAAGGCCCTGGCCAAGGTCAAGGCATCCGCATGAATGGCAATAGGAGCATGAAGGGGGACGGAATGGTCGATTCTGTTACAACGGTCTCTTTCAGCTGGAGAGGAAGGTAGTCTACGGATCTGGTCTGCATGAAATGACACATTGGCATGGATGGGGTTGCTGGTTTCTTCTGATTCGTCTGGCAAGACCTGTATGTCACTCATAAAAATCTCGATGAGGTGACCGGCGTCAATGATACGGAAATTCACAACAACTTGAGGCTGTTTTCTACGTGATTACATCTCCGCCGGGTGAAATTTGTGCTATCACATAGACATACCCAGATTCTTGAGTTTGCGCAAGTGTAGATTCGATACGCAAGTTGACAATACAATTCCTCCGAGGGTCCCGAATACATATATGCCTACCATAAAATTTAGGGCATGTCTTTCTAAAAACCTCATCTCTAAAGAAAACAGGTATAGAAGTATCAGTAGATAAAGAAGTTGCAATTACCTACATAAAGTACCTAACATGATGCCCTGACGCACTTTGGGTACTTGCCATAGGTATCTTGGGTAACATGGTCGCATTGTTGAAGCAGGAAATCGCGTAAAGTACTTCATATTACCTAATGTATGTACATGTAATTGAGCATGACTTCCGCTACTCGGACAAGTACCTAACTTTCGTAAAAGCAAGAGCCACTTCTGCCACTCCATGCCCAGGCATGGGAAATACTATAAAATCCGTATTTGGACTAGCGCAGGCGCTCGCAAAACTGGCAAACCCTAGGCCAAATAATTGACAAAAGTTCACAGCTGTAAGCAACTTTTTTTCATAACCGAACCACTCAACCCCCCCAAGGTACAACCAATCACCCCCGCTACCTAACTTCGGCGTCGTTCTTAAGTTGTCGCTTTGGTAAGTTATCGATATTTCCATAAATTTGCTTCTTCATATATACCTCATATATATTTTCCATACCAAATGTAAGAGTTGTTCTGGAGGAGATGGCGGGCTAAATTTTGAGGGCTTGGTACCTCAAAACCCCACGATATCGCACCCACCTCGCACATCCAGAATTAATAGCTAATTTAGACCCCACCAGACTCTCACATTCAATATGGCCAACCCCAGAGTCGAGGAACTCCCCGATGAGGAGCCTAAGAAGGTCTCCGTCGAAGAGCACGACGACGATGATAGCTCCGATTCCGAGATTGAGGTCGGCGAGGGCGGTGCTTCAGGCTCTACCGCCGTCGTCCACTCCCGCAACGAGAAGAAGGCTCGCAAGGCCATCGAGAAGCTTCACCTAACCCGTGTTACCGGCATTACCCGAGTGACTCTCCGACGACCAAAGAACGTAAGTAAAGCGAACAAGAAATATTCGGTTTGGTTGGGGCATGCAATATTTAGTTAGGATTGTGCGAAAAAGAAATACGTCATATCGAGTGTATATCCCGGTACTTTTTATAGCTTTGCGCAACGAGGGAAATTATTCGCTTCCAGTCAGATCAGATGGGGTTGTCTCTTCATGGCTAACCGAATCGCCTACAGATCCTGTTTGTTATTAACAACCCGGAAGTCTACAAGTCACCCAACAGCAACACCTACATGTAAGAGCCCACCGCAACTACATTAGATGTTTAATATGGCTAACAACTTTATTAGCGTCTTCGGTGAGGCCAAGATTGAGGACCTGAACTCGGCTGCCCAGCAAGCTGCGGCCCAGTCCCTTGCTGCTAGTGGTGGTGAGCACGACCATTCTGGTCACGACCACAGCCACGGCGAGCCTAGCAAGGCTGTCGAGGACGCCGAGGAAAAGAAAGATGATGACGATGACGACGAAGAAGTCGATGCCGAAGGGCTCGAGGATAAGGATATCGAGCTGGTTATGACTCAAGCCAACGTCAAACGAAACAAGGCTATCAAGGCCCTGAAAGAAAACGATAACGACATAGTCAATTCGATTATGGCGCTGAGCGTTTAATGGCGGAACTTGATTAGGAAGGATGAGTCTCACTGCGGGCGCGTTGGCTGGATGTATGCGACAACGGAAAAGTCTGCAAGGGGAAAAGACAAAACCAAAAGGAAAGTCGGTTGGCTGTGTATTACATGGTACGATATCTTACAATGGATTACTGAGCCGTTGTGAGCAAGTCACTTCGAGTTTAATGACAATTCGACTGTTATGTTGGTGACTGCACCTTTAATATAATTTTCTCCAATGTGAGATCTTGCTCGTGATATCCAAACATCAAGCCACAGTAGATCAGACCCAGCAGATTTCCACTAGTAAAAAAGTATGTAATAGGAGAATATAAGCAGTATGTTTCTAATAGTCAATTGCTGGTAAGAGATGCTCTTCAATCTCCGGAATGCAAAGGGGCTAGTAATCCACGTGACTTACAAATAATCACGTGGCTTTACCGGATTGTGGCGCCCTGCAAAACGTCGGGGTTCTTCGGCTGGGATACAGCAGCAACATCCACTGCGAATTGCTTCACATCTCCACTCCTTACCTTTTTCCTCAACACATCACCAAAATGGCCGCAGTAAGTAGTCTTTCTTGCAGGATATCCTGGATAATGCTGTTGAGCTTTTCAAAAGGCAATCATGGTGCCAATTGGATCGTCAATTGCCCCAGGAACTTCCATTGAAAAATGGACGAAGATGAGCTAATTTCTAATTTTCCGTTTCCTCCCTCGCAGCGAAGCGCAGCCCTCAAGCTCGACTGGACCAAGGTCACCTCCTCGCTAGGTCTGCGCGGTCAGACCGTCGCAGGCCTGCAGGCCTTCAAGCAGCGCAACGAGAACGCCCGCCGCAAACTGCAGGCTCTGTCGGAACTGCCGACGACAGTCAACTTCGCACATTACCGATCCGTGCTTAAGAACCAAGCCGTCGTCGACGAGATCGAGAAGCGTTTCGCCGCCTTCAAGCCCGCCCAGTACGACGTCTCTCGCCAGCTCAAAGCCATCGAGGCTTTCGAGATCGAGGCTATCAAGAACGCCCAGAGTACCAAGGAGAAGGTCGATTTGGAACTCAAGGACCTCGAGGCTACCCTGAAGAACATCGAGACCGCTCGCCCCTTCGAGGAACTTACTGTCGATGAGGTTGCTGCTGCTGAGCCATCGATCGATGAGAAGACGGCTAAGTTGGTGTCCAAGGGCCGCTGGTCCGTTCCGGGATACAAGGTACGGGCTATTCTCTGTTACTTGCAGGACATATATATATGCTATGATGATAATGATGCTAACACCCTTTCTAGGAGAAATTCGGCGATCTTTCCGTACTATAGACAGCTTGCGCAGCGTAGCAACCAGAATTGCATTACCGCTCTCTTTCCCTTGTGTACTCTAGCATTGTAGATAGGAAGACCGGGAAGAGGCTGAGAAAGTGGAATTACATACATTGTTAATCAAGTCCTACGTGTGTAGTTTATAATTGTCCCCAGGCAGGTGACATACTCTCCGTCTCGAAGTACCTATCTGATTTCGAAAACTACTTACCTAAGAGATGGTATGTAGTCTTGGTTACTTAGTACCAAAGTCCAGTGTCTAGACTTGAGTCGAGGATGGCGAATAGTATGGCTTAGTCAAGTCTATCAGCCTATTGTCATGTCATCTTTGGACTATGCTATGGAAAGCCCCCGTGGTAGTGAGGAACGGTTATACCAGAAATCTAAGAGGATAATCTATTTCGTATGCCTTTACAGGACCTTTAGAGACATTCCAATTTCGAGAAAGGGGTCAACTACAGTTTTGCTTAAGTTATTGATATATGCTTAACTATATAACTTAAGTTGGTCCTCGTTCCAAGTAACCATTCACAGAATTGGCATGTAGCAAGACTACTCCCAGGTAAATTGAGCAGTGCTTTATACTCCCTATCAAGCCAACCCTCGGGAGCCCCAATTGTCGCCATAGCTGCGCACCAAAGTACAGAATTTCTTTCTTTCAATAACTTAAAGTTACCTAAACTTACAACAATATGTTGGATCTGTTCCGTTTATTAATGTGTTTTGCCAGCCGATCTTGCCTATAGCGATAGCAACAACACTAAAAGATCACACCTAGCTCGATTCATTCGGATCAACATCCCTTATCAGCTCAAAGAAATAATTTTCATTATCTAGACCTGGAAGATAGCGGGGATGAAGCCTAGATATACCAAACGACAGGACCTATGAATAGTTTTCTTTCCATAAATGAAGAGAAGGGAAAAGAAATAACCAAACCCTGCGTGGAGCATATCGGTACGGAAAACCTTAATGGTCACGACGAGGTAAGTTACTTAGCTTTTCAATAAGTGTAAAAATTTGCTAACATCTCAAATAGGCTCGATGCCGCGTTGTGCCTGCAGGAGGAACTCCCCGAAGACTTGCCTTCCACAAAAGTTCTGGAATACTGCGAGGCATCAGTGCCGTCGGTCTCGTACGGTTGATACAAGAGCCCGGAAAAGCCGTGATGCCGCCGTTTTGGAGAGCAATTAAAGAAACCAATCCCTATACTGTGATTACTCTGGGGCTCACGAGCATACCACCTTATCTGTTGATAGGGGATTCTAGGTCTTCTCGCATTTTATAAACTTACAATAGATCTACGAACTTCTTATAGTCGTGTGGGCCTGACTAGACGTCTGATAGGGGAGAGTTATAATGTATAATAGCTTTGAACTTGAGGCTACGGCTCTACGCCCTATTTATTAGACACATGAGCAAATACCGCTAAGAGGCAAATATAGGAAGGTAGAACGGAACCTTTCTATTTTAATACATTAGTTAGCCTGGTATATGACTTTAGGAAGATATTTTACAATAAATAAACTTTATCAAGAGTCGAAGAGGCACGCTCTTTAGTAGTAAATGTATAGGTACCTAATTTATATTGAGTTACGGAAGTGGATCTGCGTATTTAAAGTACCTGACCTATTTAGTTCGGCAGGGCGGGAACAGCGGATCAGGGTCTAGCCTACGCTAGCGTGATTAGCGTAACTAGCGTAACTAGCGCGCCCTACCTGCAGGTGTTTCTTCAGCTCTTCCGCCTCGTTGGTTACATGTTCCCTTTTGCTCTACCAATCTCCACGCTACACATCAATAAGACACACTTTCACACCTTCTACACACTTAAGCAACGAACTCGCTTACTCTTACTATTATGCCGACTATTTCACTTATACTCCACCTCCACGACGATTGAGCATTTTTTGTATCCGATTGCCCATTAACATCCAAAAGGTAGCGCTAGAATTCCCGCGACCATGGCATCCCTCGCCGCGGGGATAGTCGATCCCACAAAAGCTGGCAAATACCCAGTTGTTTTGAGCGATGCCTTGCTCGGCAAGGACCCAAAGGAGGTTTTCACCGGTGTCAGATGTAAGCCGCCCATTCACCATTTACCTCAGTTAATAAACGATACCTAACGGATAACCCACTACAGATAATCATAAGCCATCATTATCGTCATCCACTGCGCCCGCCCAGGCACGAATAAAATCGACATCCGCATCTTCTTCTAAGAAGGGCGCCTCTACGTACGACCTCGCCTTCCAGGATGATGGCGGCCGTTATCAATACAAAGGAACACGCGGTGTCGAAGACAACCAATATGTGCTGATCTTCGACCCCGCCCGCGAGGTCTTTGTCTTGCACAAGGTAGACTCTATGTTCAACATGAACTTGGTAAAGACGCCATCAAACGACGACCCTGAGAGCTTGCGACAAGAGTTTCCTCACTTGGATGCTCATAGTGCTGCTAGCAGCGCCAAGGCTACGGGACCGGCGAGACAACCTGCAAAGGGAAGGAAAGAAGAGAAGAAGACGGCGGCTAAGCCGCGGAAACCGGCATCGAAACCAAAAGCAGAAGATAAGCCGGTTCTAGCAATGCCCGAGAAGAAATCACCTCCAAAGCCTATAACAACTAGCAAGCCGCGCCGCACCTCGGACGATTCGGAGGAAGAGAGCTCGGACGACGACCTTGGCCTTACGATAGAGAATCCAGGTGGCGAGGCGCCGAGAGTTAATCAACACTACTCTCCCAACCTTTTTGGAATTCGCCGTTTCTCCGATTTGATGAACGAGGGCGAAGACGAGAAGAATAACGAGGAGTACGACGATGCTGACGGCGAGGAAGACGACGATGAGCCTATTGAGCACTTCGTCCTACCTAGCCCGATCAACCAGCAGATGCACCAAACCAGCAACGCCCATAAACATCCGCAAACCAACGAGGAATGTGATGAAGACGAGGATGAAGAGATGGAGGATGTACAGCAAGAACAGCCGGCTGAGGCTGAGGAACCTGCCCTGGATGAGTCGGATCTCGAGGCTGCGCTGTTAGCCGAACTGGGCGAAGAGGATCAGCAAGAAAGCGACGTGAGCGAGGAGGAGTAGGGGAAGATCTTGTTTCTTCATTATTGATTTAGGGATGCCCATTTGAGGCGATATCTGACCTGATCTTCCGGGGATATAATAAAGCGGCGTCTGGTGCTCTGGATCTCTGGATACCACATGAACGGGCGGATGGGATATCGGAATTCAATACATGACGGGTGAATATATCTCCTCGGCAAAAGCGGCGGCCTGGCCTTGATTTACTTATTTTTTATAGACGAATATTTTAATGATTACCTAGTAGTTACATAGTGTCCTAGGATCTCTAGAGGCGAAAACATGACACTATTCTTGAACAAGATTAGTTGGGATTAAGTAGACTTTAGCATAGATGATGACTTGATGCTCTATCTAACCAAAGGCATTATAAACGGGCATTCCTGTATACTCATCTCAAGGGGGAAAACTCCCTTGATAGGTAGAGCTTAGTCTAGAAGATGGATATGTAGACGTGTAGTATACTATTAGACAGTTCGTGTTTACTAAATATATACCCACACGTATCCCTCATCCCCTATGTTACCTATCTCCCTTTACGAAGCCCCCGAGAAGTCTAAGTTCTCGTTCCCAACAACTGGGTTCAGCACATTAACATTAGTTCCCGCCAAGTTTCCATCACCGCCCTGTACTACTGCTGAGAACGAATCGGCCATGAGTTGTACGCCACTCACGAAGTCCTGCTCGTCAAACTCGCAGTGCCCGCCGTTCGGTGAGTTATCTACCGTCTGTAGGGCCCCGACGGCTGCTGCGTCCAGGCCTTGCGAGGTGGCGATCTGCTCGTAGGCTTTGATCGCTGCCGGGATCGCGGGTTGGAGGAGCGCTAATTCTTGCTGCGTACTCTGGAAATGCACACGCGTCTCTGCCAACGCAGCAGCGTCCGCATCTGCTACGTCGACTTGCGGTTCTAACCCGCCGCAGTTGAGCAGGACTTGGGACTCCTTTCCGGCGCCGGCGAACTGCGACATATGCCCCGGCATCAAGAACCCGCTCAGCAACAACGAGCCACCAGACACCCCCGTAAAACTCACGCGGCTGGAGTTAAATGCCAGGACTTGGGGCATGATATCCGCGACCAAGTCGGCGACGGCCTGGGCGTGGGCCACACCGTCAGTGCGGTCGAGACCAGAACCGCCGCCCCAGAAAAGGTTTGGGTCCGGCGCTAGGACGGCGACTCCCGCGAGACCGTCCTGCACGGCTTGGTTCGGAAAGTCGAAGAATGACTGTCCGCCGTCGCCGTGTAAAAGGATGTTTAAGCCTAGATCGCCGGCTGCGCCCGCCGGCTGGGCACCGCCGTCGACGCCCGAGTCGGCTGTGAATTGGTCGGCGGGTGCGGACACTTTGAAGCGGAGGGGGAGACCGCTGAGGAGGGTTAGTGTCTAGGTTATACATATAAACTTGGGTATGTTGGTTATAAATAGAGAGGTAAACGTACTTTACGTTAGCCGTCGTATCCAAGATGGTGCTTCCATCCGTCGCCGTCGAGACGCCCTGCGGTATCTGCTGCGCCTGCTGGAAAGCCGTAGCTTGCTTCTGCTGTTGTCCTCCGCCTCTGGTCGCCCCCTGGCTATTCTTGTTCTTGCCACCCCTATTCCCTCCGTTTTGCGGCGCCGCATCGACGAGGGAAAGCGCCCCGAGGCCGAGCAGTAGCGATAATGAGCGAATGTTCAACATCCTGACTACCTAACGTAACTTAGATTAAAGGGGAAGATATTACGAGTAATGGACTGGCGAGAAAGAAGAAGAAGAAGAAGAAGAGACAGGCGAATCTGGGCCTAGGGAAAGAAAGGAGAATGCGTGTGGTTATCGAAATAAGGCCCGTCAAGAGCTTAGAAGTGAAAGAAGTGTAAAAGAAAGAGAGAAACAGAACTCCATTCCACGTTTCGTAGATTTCGAAAGAACGCAGTCAGTCTTATTAGTAAAGTAAAGTCTTCAAATTACACCTCTCCTCCCCTCCCAGGGTCACGGAGATCAAACATCCATCACGGCCCACAACAAATCGCATCCAGACCTAGCCTCGCGCATTCCAAGCAATCTAGAAGGGCGCCAAGACGGGGCCGAAGATCGAAATTGGCGCTCATCGCACTGAGGTATCAGCTCCGACGATAATTATCTGTTTCCAGGCTGCGCTGGTGGGAGAATGGGCACTTCTGACACCGTATTGGGATACAGTTGAGCTTCTCCGTGTTTCGCCGCAAGGGTTGCGACTGTTCTGAGGGCGCCGGCATCCCTGTCTGAACCCCACAATATCCGGCAGGTATCGTCACATCCTAGAGTTTGGGCTCTTGTCTGAAGCTTAGATTTTGCTTGGCGATGCCTATCAAAAAGAGGACTACAAAGTCATTCTTTTGGCTATTCCTA